AAGCTGGAGACTCTTATCTCCCTCACTAACTTTAAGCATCAGTTGTCAGAGCAGCACCTTACCGATCACTGCACCTGTACACAGCCCATCTGAAATTAGCCCACCCAACTACCTCATCCCCATATTGTTATTTATTTTGCTCATTTGCACCCCAGTATCTCTATTTGCACATCATCTCTTGCACATCTATCATTCCAGTGTTAATACTAAATTGTAATTATTTTGCACTATGGCCTATTTATTGCCTTACCTCCATAACTTGCTACATTTGCACACACTGTATATATATTTTCTGTTGTATTTTTGACTTTATGTTTTGTTTACCCCATATGTAACTATGTGTTGTTGTTTTCATCGCACTGCTTTGCTTTATCTTGGCCAGGTCGCAGTTGTAAATGAGAACTTGTTCTCAACTGGTTTACCTGGTTAAATAAAGGTGAAATAAATAAATAAATAAAAAAAATGGGCTTTTTAAGGAGAGGTTGGACCAGAGCTGTTTTAAAGTAGGATGGAACGGAGCCAGAGGTCAGACAGAATGTTGGGGCCAACAGTAGGCATAACCTATTTTAGTAGTCTAGTAGGGACCACGTCACAGGGGCAGGAGGAGGTCTTCACACCACACACAAACACACACACACTTGACGGCAGTTCCTTGCATCCTCGCAGTTGACTGTTCTGCCATAAGATACCTGAGTGTGTTACATTCCTCAGGAGTGTGTGGCAGATCCAGACATGCACTACAGACTGAGTCAACTCTACCTTGAGCTGGGTGAGGCAGGCAGAGACCTTAAACACACAAAACACAGGATGACTAATCAAAATGGCTCCCAACAAGGTTGACCTTTCCATTTTAAAGACACACCTACAGTTTAATTCTTACTAACTAGGGCCTTGAGCTAGCGTACAGCACAAGGTTCGGTCTAGTAGGGCTTTCTCACTGACAACAGACAATGAACTTGTGAACACTCTCAATCACGTGTGAATGTCAAACACAAGACTACATGGTGAGGCAGCAGTAATGTTTCCACCGGTGGAACTAGGGTGACCACATCTAATATGCTCAAATACGGCACAATGGAAAAAGATTTGCGGAACAGTGGACAGAATACATTTTTGGGGGCAGGTTAATGGATCACGTTCAAATGGCGACATAGTTCTGCTGCATGAAAGTCACTGCCTGTTAAAGGAGCAATCCTTAGTTGCTACATACATTTTTGGACTTATAAATTAATAGTATATACCCGTTGATTCTTGAAGAATATAACGTATAAATGCCTCATGAGCTTAGTTCAGCTGTTGTACCCCATCAGAACACAAGATATAAGCTTGTTTTATTTACTCCAATGTTTGTAAACAAACTAAATGTAAACAACCTAAAAACATGATTAAAACTATTGATATAATGGATGGTCCGTCCTTGCACTCATAGCGTAGTCTATGGATTTGAGAGTGGTTGCATTTCTCAAGCCCCATCCCTCAGCTTTTTACTGTACCTGTGGAAGGGAGTTCACTTTTTTAATGTTTCAGTTAAGGATTGCCGCTTTAAACACCTTTAGTAGAGTAATAGTGTTATTACATGGCGCAATCCTGTAGTGAGTGAGTTACCTTTGTGCCGTTAATATCAAGAAAAACTTCTGAAGTTGAGAACAAAATTCTTAGTATTGCAAACAAAAATTCTGATATTGAAAGCAAAACATAAACCCAAAAGTACTGATAGCAAAACTAAATATTGCAAGGAATTTCTTCCACATTTGGGGGCTTGCCTGTTTTGCAGGTTATTAATACCTGTCACATATCAGTTTGCAAAAAAATAAAATTAAAAAAATAAAATAAGTCAGTTAATAAAGCCGCATACAAACATGGTCTCGTTTTAATTTTATTGAGTAAGGCAGCTCCAAAATGCAGGTGTTTCAGCCAAGCTCAGTGCTTTCTGTGGTGGTTGGGCAGACAGCCTCCTGTAGCTCAGTTGGTAGAGCATGGCGCTTGCAATGCCAGGATTGTTGGTTCGATTCCCACGGGGGGCCAGAATGAAAAATGTATGCACTCACTAACTGTAAGTTGCTCTGGATAAGAGTGTCTGCTAAATGACTAAAAACTGTAACAACAAATAAAAAAACTGCAAAAAAAACTAAACGTAGGTGCTGGTAATGTTTTCTAGTTGCGCCGTGATTAGCTCAGTGTTCTGTCACTCGTGGGGACAGTACGTCACCGCCAAGTCTAAGGGTAGAGCTTGAATATTCAAGCCCCTTGGGTGCTGCCATAGAGTCACATTAGAAGTGCCCATCCAAGAAGGCTGAAGGTCATTGGCCACAGATAAAATGATGTGGCCAAAATGATGTGGAACATTATAGCTACAGTAGCTTTGATTGGACTGATCATGTCAACATCATTCTTTCAAACTCTTAGCTAGCAGTCATCAACATGAATCAAGTCGACAATCTACTGGCTAATCCTTGTCATATGAAGAGAAATTATGAAGAGAAATTATAGATAAAACGTATCGGTGCTCATCCGCCATTGGACATTAACATTACACAACAAGTTGGAAATCGCAAATTCAACAATGAGTGGTTTGGAAGGAATCAGTGGCTAACTGCAAGCATTACAAAGCAATCACTAGCCTGCTATTCAGTGGAGTGGCTGTGTGGTCCCAAATATGGAATTAGGGGTCTCTTTTCCAAGTTTAAAATGATAAACATTCAACATTGGCCATGCTGTCAATGAAGCATGATTTGTGCTGCGCTCAAAACAACTCTTAACTCGGAACTGCGAAAACCTGACTTCGGTGAGTTCAAGACAGCTGGGAACTCGAGAAAAACGAGCTCCGACTGGGAAAATACGTTTTGAACGGTCATCCAACTTGGAATTGTAAATCCGGAACTTGGGCCTCTTTCTAGAGCTACGACCTGAAGATCAATGACGTCATCATGATTCAACATGGTTTGTCTTGAAAGCACCTTAAATCCAGAGAATGCCAGACTTTGATGACAAAGTTTGATGACAACATTTGCCCACGAAGAACTGCCGCGCCACTTTCCTGTTCAAGTGACCACAGCACAACAAGGTGAGTCCAAAAATGTATTGTACGCTGCTGCATAAATGATGTGATATGCCAGTGAGATATATATACTGTAGCTAATAAAGTAATACTAAGTGTATGTTGTGTAGTAAGCTGTTAGGTGCCCATGTGCCTCACCCTAATAATGTGGTCTATTTTAGCCTCTTAATTTCGCCTACTGTTCTGACTTGGTGGTACACATGTAGCCTATAACCGGTTTTAGACAAATGTAATCATTGAATATTGTAAGAGCTTTCACTGTCTGCTTATATGCCCCCTTTATGTATCCTACGGTTCTGACTTGGGGTACAAAGAGAACACTGTAAGAACGGTCCATGTTCTGAATTCTGTCGCTGTACATTTCAAAAGTGCTAAACAAATAGTTATATTGACTACGTCCGTCCTAGCTCGCTCATTAATGTCTTAATCGAAAATTACGGATTGCCTCTTATCCGCTTGTCGTCGCCTTATGCCATAGTTTGTACATCTCAATTGTCAGTAGAAACCACATTTGTTTAAGCAAGTCAGCCATATCAGCTATGTTTTTTAAAATGGCAGTAAATGAGGCTGAATGAACTGTTTCGCTGCCAGACAAGGCTCCGCTGATAGCCAGGTGTAGCAGTGGTAAGATGTTGTGACTGCTGTTGGGAATCTGCTGTTGTGACAGCTTTATGTAGGCCCTAACAGTTTGTGGGCACCGTTTATCACCGTTATAGTGCAATTAATGCATTGTTTAGTGTTTGTATTGTGTAGTGTCTTTTCTGGGGCATGCATCCCACATAATGTATTTTTTTTGCCCCACCAAGATTTACATGCTAAAATCGCCACTGGCAGTGCTACACATCTCCTTTGCATAGAGTTGATCAGGCTGTTGATTGTGGCCTGTGGAATGTTGTCCCACTCCTCTTCAATGTCTGTGCGAAGTTGCTGGATATTGGCGGGAACTGGAACACACAGTCGTACACGTCGATCCAGAGCATCCCAAACATGCTCAATGGGTGGTGAGGTCTGGTGAGTATGCAGGCCATGGAAGAACTGGGACAATTTCAGTTTCCAGTAATTGTGTACAGATCCTTGGGAAATGGGGCCATGCATTATGCTGAAATATGAGGTGATGGCGACGGATGAATGGCATGACAATGGGCCTCAGGATCTAGTCACGATATCTCTGTGCATTCAAATTTCCATCGATAAAATGCAATTGTGTTCGTTGTCCGTAGTTTATGCCTGCTCATACCATAACCCCACCCAGGGGCGGTGTGTTCATTAGGGCGATATGGGCGACGCACTGCCAAACGGGAAAAGGAAGGGTTTTTTTTCTAATCAATTATATCACGGCAACAGTAGTTATCAGTGTTCTAATCTAGACGTCTGATCTGCCACTAAATGTCCAATCAGGCTAAAGTCGTGCTTCAAATGTCCCCGCCCGTTTTGGGGCGATTTCAGTCAGGTTGAAAATCGCCCAGAAGTCTCTCATAGCCTCTAATGTAAAATCAATTTTTTTCAAATATCAGAGCTTTCAATACAATCTCTATGGGTTTCTGAGGGCTTGCACTTACGCGCTTTCGTCATACGTAACATAACCATGAACGTAACTAAGAAAAGAGCGGGTAGCCTCATCAATCAATTCACTACTACTGTCAAAATGGCTAGCCTTCAGTGCAACTCGATTGTCTCTTTGAAATAAGTTCCTTTTTGTCGGCGAACAAATCAAGATAAATTGGCAACGAAACAATTAGGACCTCCCAGACCAAATTTAATAATTCAACAGGTTTCTACTAAGCAGAGTCGTGAACACTGTCTACGAGAATCGAGACGACCTCATAGAATGTTTTGAAGCCATTCGGACGGGTTCATTGGGTTCATTTGACCAGCCCACCGTGAGAGAGGCATCTGGCTACGTGAGGATGCTACATGATGAAGATTTTATTTTTTTCCTGCGGCTTTTTCACAAAATCATGCCCCACGTCGACATTCTGTACCAGAAGCTACAGAAGAAGGACATCGATGCTGTCTTTATCAAACGTGCCCTCGACAGCTTCACAAGCAGTGTGCAGGCCATAAGGTAAGATTAAACAATATCATTCGATCTTTCTCAAAGCAGAGCTTTATTTGAAAATGTATGCATGAAAGGAGACTGCATTTGTGTTTGAAATTACATTATTCTCATTATATATGGCCAGTGGTGTAATCTAGCTTATTTTATATACTATGTGTACTGTACAGTGGTGCTCATAAGTGTATGAACACATTCTAAAGTTGACTAAAAAGAGGAATACAAAAATAAAAATAAACATCTTTTGGAAATTGATCTTAATGACTTAATTAAAAAAGTTGGAAAATCCAACCTTTAAGGACACCAATTTTCTTTTCTTTTTTATTCCTCTTTTTAGTCAACTTTAGCATGGGATCATAAGCTTATGAGCACCACTGTATACTGTGCTGAACATCCAGGCTATGTGAGACACAAAGGCTAACTTAAACACTAAAGACTTTATGCATCCCTGCCCATTTTAAGTGGAACTGAAGTATTTGTACTATACATGGATACATTGCATATACCTGTGCATCACATAGACAACAGTACTGTACAAAGCCAACAAACACATTGGTCTGTTTGCCTTCAGGGACTCCTCTCAACAGCAGCTGCAAGAAGCAACAGGAGCCAAAAGACCCAGAACAGCTTTGAGAGAAGAGGAGAAGCAGAGGCTGTCTGAAGAGGTCTGCAACACCATCCTGGATCACACCAAAGAAAGGTTCTCTTTCTCTGGCCACCTTGTGAGTGCTACCTTACTGCAAGCAGACATGTTTGAAAGGTACTGCCATTCATTTCCTGATGAGGCTCTGAATGCCACTGTGAATGCATACCCCATGCTGAGCGAGGCAAAGCTCAAGACAGAACTATCTCTGATCTATGAGAATCCTGAATTCAAGGGATGCTGTGGTGCACTGGCACTGTACCAGGTTCTCATGAGCTACAACCTCCAGGAGACGTTCTCTGAGACTGTGACTCTGTTGAACATCCTCATAACTACTCCCATGACAACAGCTGAAGCTGAGAGATGTTTCTCAACTTTGACACGAGTTAAGACATTCCTGCGAAATTCAATGGGCCAGGAATGTCTGAATGCACTGGCCATGCTTTCCATGGAGAGGGAACTAGTCCTCAGCATGCCTGATTTCATTGAGAAAGTCATTGAACGCTTTGCTGTATTGAAACAGAGAAGAGAACAGTTTCAGTACAAGTAATGTAGCCTCTCTCTCTCTCTTTGTCCCTCCCTGTCTGTCTCTTTAACACACACACGCCCAAATCAGTTCACAGTTGATGTTGTTTAAAATAGTTATTTTTCATTTAAAAAAAAGTTTTTAAAAAAATAATCTGTTCATGTTCATTTTTACAAATCTATACAATTGGCCAGAATATGGTTGTTCATATTTACAAATCTATACAATTGGCCAGAATATGGTTGTTCATTTTTACAAAGCCATACAGATAGCTGTGTTTACCTTTTCTAGAAATTACTTTCAAATTCTGTTTTCAGGCAAAATGTCTATCACTGTTCATTTTCACAAATCTATACAAGAGGGCAGAATATGGAAGTCTATAAAAATGTCTTATTACCAATAACTTGCATCAATGTTTTCAGTAGCCTCTATCAAAAGCTCCTGCTTGCTTGTTGTGAATTATGCTCAGGTGCACATATTTCCAATTCAACCATGAGGCAAAAAATGTGGTAAAAGCTCTTGTTGATCCTGCAATCTGAACAAATACCAAGATGCTGTATTTTCAGCTGATATTTCATTTGTTTATGGAAATGCATATTGTTTATGCAGTGTTGAGGAATGTGAAAGAACACCCTTGATTATTTTTACTGTGATAACTTATTTTGATTTTGTAAGCCAACACTTTTGAGATCAGTCAATAAATGCTTCTGGTATTGACTTATATGCTGCCCCTGTCTTCATGTTGTTGATGGACATATCTTTTTTAAAAATGTGTGTAGGTCACCTAAATCATCAGAAAAATTGCCCCCCCTGAGAATTTTTTCAGGAGCCGCCACTGACCCCACCACCATGGGGCACCTGTGTAATGATCATGCTGTTTAATCAGCTTCTTGACATGCCACAGCTGTCAGGTGGATGTATTATTTTGGCAAAAGATAAATGCTCACTAACAGGGATGTAAACAAATTTGTGCACAACATTTGAGAGAAATACATTTTTTGTACCTATGGAACATTTCTGGGACCTTTTATTTCAGCTCATGAAACATGGAACTAACACTTTACATGTTATAATAATAATAATAATAATAATAACATGTTGCGTTTATATTTTTGCTCAGTGTATGTTACAACTTTTATCACAAGCTTCAACGTTAATAAGGGAAAGTTGTAAGTATTTTACGAGTTATGTCTTTTTGCATTAGCCAACTGTGGTTAATTATACATGTAGGCAGTACCCACGTGGTTTCATCGAGCCGGAGACTGTAGATTCTTTTGTTCAAAACATCCTTGAAAAAACGAGGAAGACAGACAGACACGAGAGAATCAGGAAATCCCTCTGCCGACGTGTTAATTAGTCACCGAATTAGAAGGAACATAATCTGAAACCAAGAGGTTCAGCAACTTTTAGTTGGGGAAATAGAAAGTTTTTCATCGGTGGATTAGCTAGCTAACGTTACCCAAGGTTTGTGGCTTTGTTTAGATATCGATAGTTTACACTAGCTGGCCTTAGTTAGTAACGTTAGCTGGCTAGCTAATTTTTTATTTATTTTTATCCAGTAAAACAATGCATTGTGTGGCTATTGTCGTATTTTCCCGTAGTTTAATAGTTGTCTGTTGTTCAGTAGGTAGTAGCCTCCGATTATGCTAGCACGAAGACAAAGAAATGCGGACAACTGAGTGTTAGAATTAATTACTAGCTAATGAAATTACTAGCGCGAGTTGCTATGTTAATCGTGGCTTGGAGAGGTGGCTTTCTAACTTGTGTGTACTTGGACTTGAGTTTAACGTTTAAATGACAAGCCATTTATGGTTAGTTTTCCTTTCACTGTGTACATGTATTTCCTCCCAAGAGCATTGCGTTGTCAGCAGTTCAGCAAGAATAGTTTGGTTTCGGTTGTATTGATATCTAAATGCATGTCTGTTTTGTTTTCGCCCCCACTTTTCTACAGATATTTTTACAAACATGCCACGCAAGAAGGTAACAGAAGTCTCAGGGAATGGTGGGATCAAGAGGAAGAGGGCAGGAGGCAAAAAGAAGGAAAGGGAGTTCAGCAGTGATGATGAGTTTGATGATTATGAAGAGCAGGAGAACACAAAGAAACCTGGCAAGCCTGCTACAAAGTCAGGCCTTCAACCTGTCACTGTCTCTGACGATATCAAGGAAAAAATTGTAAGTCCACCTGACCTGCATGAGGTTAAGTCGAACATTGTTCAGATAATCAAGGGAGGGGGTTTGTGATGTGACGATATAGAATTGTGGTTAATGTGAATAGAAAATGTAACAACATGTTATTAGTCACTTGTAAATCAAGGGTGCTTAGGCAGTGCTAGAATAAAACATGAGAAACATTAAGAGAAACGCTGATCTCTGTATTGTCATTTCTATAGAAACTTGACTTACCTAAAATCAAAGGTCAACTGCTCATTTTCGGAGCCACCAACTGGGATCTCATCGGAAGGAAAGAGGTGCCAAAAGCACAAGGTATAACCCTGCCCAGTCCTGTACTGAAAACATTGCTGTATGCAATACTCCACTCAGTTTTCCCTCAATAGCACTTGTGCTACCAACTTTGAAAGTCGTTTTTCCTGTCTATTTCTAATGGCAATCTTTAAGTAATCCTCCTAATTGACTGCAGTATTGAAGTGTTCCTGTTTCTGATCAAATCAAACTTTAAAGTGCATTTAAAATTGAAATAGACTTTAAATTAAAATGGTGGTGTGTGTGGTCTCTCAGCGGCCTTCAGGAACCTAGGCCAGAACCTGTGGGGTCCTCACCGCTATGGCAGCATGAGTGACGTGCAGGTCAGCAGTGTGGTGTCTGGGCCCTGTGCTGCCCACAGCCTCCTCATCACCACCGAGGGCAAGCTCTGGAGCTGGGGTAGGAATGCTATACCGTAATAGCTCATAGTGTGTGTATATATATCTCATAGATCATTCTAGCTGGTTTGAGTCTGGGAGAAAGGGTCAATATTGACTTCTTTCTGCCTCTATCAGGTCGAAATGAAAAGGGTCAGCTGGGTCACGGGGACACAAAGCGCCTAGAGGCCCCAAAGTTGATTGAGGCCCTCGCAGACGAAGTGGTGGTGGCTGCAGCCTGTGGACGCAACCACACCCTGGCATTGACAGAGGGTGGCACCGCCTACTCGTTTGGAGAGAACAAACTGGGCCAGCTGGGCCAGGGTAACCAAACTGATGCAGTCCTCAGTCCAGCCCCGGTAAGCAACATCAACCTCCCTATTCATCTGCCTCATTATTGTTGCTGCTTTATTATAGGTTTAATATGGCCACATGGTGAGCCTGTGCTTATCAAAGCTTCTCCTTGCCCCTCTCAGATCCAGTACGATGGGCAGCCCTTGGTCAAGGTGGCGTGTGGGGCAGAGTTCAGTATGGTGGTGGACTGCAAAGGGAACCTCTACTCGTTCGGCTGCCCAGAGTATGGCCAGCTAGGTATGTCCTCAACTAACGAGCAGGACTGGACAGATTTCAACTTTTTTTTAAAGTTTCACCGAAGTTTCTCTTTAAAGACGAAAGTTTCTCCAATGACACATTTAAAGAATCACAATGACCCCTTCAAAGATCATTCTAGATCAAACACTGGCGTAGGACTTATTTTTTCCTTGTGTTTTGGGTCACAGGACACAACTCTGACGGCAAGTTCATTGCCCGCGCCCAGCGCATCGAGTTTGACTGTGAGACCGTTGCACGCCGCGTGGCCATCTTCATCGAGAAGAGTAAGGACGGCCAGGTGACACCTGTACCTAACGTGGTGGTCCGCGACGTCGCCTGCGGAGGCAATCACACGGTGAGGAGAGAAGACCAGAACCCATATTCAGTCTTGGAGAAAGAATGCTGATCTAGGACCAGTTTGGCCTTTTAGATCATAATGAATAAGATTACATGTACATGAGGGACCTGATTCTAGATCAGCACTCCTACTCTGAGACGCTTTATGAATACGGGCTCTGATCCCTGTCGTCACAAATACCCCATGAGCAAGAAATGTGCATTTTAGAAACAGAAATCAAACAATGATATTATATTAGTGATGTCCCCCCCCCTCCCTTTGCATAATTGCTGAATGAAGAGCATTTGAGTCATTTAAGACACTCTTATCCAGAGCAACCTACAGCGTTCCCTTCATGTTTAATTAATAAACCTGTAGATGGAGACCTCTTCAATCTGATCGTTAAATCTGGGCGCTAAAAGGGAGTTGAGCGGAGCTGATAACATTTTGGCCCTGTGTAGCTCAGTTGGTAGAGCATGGCGCTTGCAATGCCAGGGTTGTGGGTTCGTTTCCCACGGGGGGCCAGTATGAAAAATGTATGCACTCACTAACTGTAAGTCGCTCTGGATAAGAGCGTCTGCTAAATGACTCAAATGTAATGTAAAATGTACCGGCCTGTGTTTTAAAGGGATAGTCCACTCAAAGTATGAGTTTTCACTTGCATTGGCTGTAGTTGATTCGCGAAGACCGGTTTTTTTTTCTCTCTCACTTTTGTTTTGTTAGCACGAGGTATGTAAACTGTGTGTGTGTGTGTCCAGCTGATATTGGACTCCCAGAAGCGGGTGTTTTCCTGGGGCTTTGGTGGTTATGGACGGCTGGGTCACACGGAGCCGAAGGACGAGATGGTGCCCAGACTGGTGAAGCTCTTTGACTTCCCCGGGCGCGGGGCATCCCAAATCTACACTGGCTATCAGTGCTCCTTTGCTGTAAATGAGATGGGTATGGGACACAATGCTTAACCCCTTGGAATGTCGCACTGATGAGTAAATCTCTTTAGAATTATTGTATATTTTATTACCCCCATTATCAATTTATACCACTATAAACCAAGAATACTACCGTTACTTCCCCAAGTCTGTGTTGTAATACCTGATATACACTGAGTGTACAAAACATTGCTCTTTCCATGACAGACTGACCAGGTGAAAGCTGTGATCTCTTATTGAGGTCACCTGTTAAATCCACTTCAATCAGTGTAGATGAAGGGGAGGAGACTGGTTAAAGAAGGATTGTTAAGCCTTGAGACAATTGAGACATGGATTGTGTATGTGTGCCATTCAGAGGGTGAATAGGCAAGACAAAAGATTGAAGTGCCTTTGAACAGGGTATGGTAGTAGGTGCCAGGCGCACTGGTTTGAGTGTGTCAAGAACGGCAGTGCTGCTGGGTTTTTCATGCTGAACAGTTTCTCGTGTGTATCAAGAATGGTCCATCACCCAAAGAACATCTATCGAACTTGACACAACTGTGGGAGGCATTGGAGTCAACATGGGCCAGCAGCCCTGTGTAACGCTTTCGATACCTTGTAGAGTCCATGCCCCAATGAACTGAGGCTATTCTGAGGGCAAAAGGGGTCAATATTAGGAAGGTGTTCTTAATGTTTTGTACACTGAATGTATATTGTAGTGATTTCAAGGGGTATCCCAAATGGGATTTGAACCTAGCATCTGTCAGTCTAACACTGTAGCCATTACGCTAAGAGTTGGACACTTTTGCCAAGGACACTGGTGTTTTTAATAAGGAAGCTACAATATTAACATTTTGTGTGCAGGAGGGCTGTTTTTCTGGGGTGTCACCAATACTTCGCGGGAGTCTACCATGTACCCCAAGGCAGTGCAGGACCTGTGTGGCTGGAAGGTCCGCAGTCTGGCATGCGGGAAAAGCAGTATCGTTATCGCTGCAGACGACAGCACCATCAGCTGGGGACCCTCCCCTACCTTTGGCGAGCTGGTAAGTTTTTAATAATTAATTGGTGTATTTATTAAGCAGATTTCTCACACCCAAAGTGCTATACAATTATAGAAATGTACTTGTGTGCTCAAAAGACTGCTGAATTTGTGCACCTGTTCTGGCTTCTCAACCCATTATGACATGGGTTTGTGTTTGTTACAGGGATACGGAGACAACAAGGCCAAGTCCTCCACTACTGCTCAGGAGGTGAAGACCCTGGATGGAGTTTACGCTGAACAGGTGTGGAGCAGCAACTTATAATGAAAACAGTTTTCTGTAGATGGGAACTGCATTTAGGTGCATGTTCACTCTTTGGGCCGATTCTCACTGTGGTGTTTGGGGTTGCAGGTGATGATGGGATACGCACACTCCCTGGTCATCGCCAGACAGGATACTCCACAGGAACAAGAGAAGCTCAAGAAGCTGCCAGAGTACAACCCACGCACGCTCTGATGGGGCACCATCCAGCCACCTTACCGTTTGTTTTTCCCAGAGACAACAGATTCTCTCCAGAAGCACCTGCCCTTTAGGTCATGATGGATGGCTGGGGAGGATGGGCTCTCATGAATATGTATGCATACACTTTGAAAAACATTCAGGTCTAGTTCATAGTTTCGGAGGTTAAATGAGAAAATGCGGCGCAACAACTAAGACTGAAACAAATCCACTCTGGACAGAATTCATCCTACTCTCACAATGCTTGTCAGACATCTACAGCTGGAGAGAGGAACTCTACCACTCATCTCTCCAAGCACATTATTCCTCTCTGCGTTCTACTCCAACTCCAATCCCCATGCAACTCCACTGAAGCGTTCACTATATTTTCATGAAGTATTTTTATTCTTCTGTTGAACTGATCAATGTCCTCTCCCTCACTACAACAGGTGCTACATCAGTCCTCTTTGGGCAGATTAATTTCCAAGCGAGGGATCACTTCAAGACCAACACTCCATATCTGTGCCTTTTGAAACTGTATTTTGGGGGTATGGAGTAAATATGCTTTTTTTTGTTTCTTCCCAAAGACCAATTGCTGAATTTAGTTTAATTTGTTCATGGAGTCCATGGAAGTATTACTGTTTGTCAGGTTGATCTGTGTGCGTTGTCAGAACACAATCAGGATCTGAGACATTGTGCCAAGTTGATGCTCTCCGACCATTGACTTCTGTTATATTCCTTGGTTTGTCTCTACACTTGTATGATTAAATGTTGGTGTTGAGGATGCGCAACTGTCCCTCAAAGGCCATTGTCTGCTTGTTGTCATTCCTGCCCTTTTTCCCAGTGACTCCTTTTAGCCTGCGAAGCAGCTGTGAACACTGCAGTCTTGGGAATGAAAACCAGCATGAATGCGATTTTGCAAGGACTTGAGTTGTGTGCCTCCGTTTTAGTGTGAAACTACACTTTCTGCACTGCTGTTAAAATTATTATTTTGTATAGTATAAACTTCTGTGTTGAGCATCCTAAATAATCCCATATCTGTTATTGTTTATTTTTAGTAAACTAGAAGGGGAAGAAGCATGATGTAAGATGCAATCTGATAGTCCAACTGATTATAGGCTACTAAAGCCAATTACTTACCGCTGCGCATGGAGTTTGATGAAAATCAGATAATCACGCTGCATTATGCTGCCATGGATTTTAAGAAAATGAATTGACCACATGGTGAGCCTGTGTTTCAAAGTTCTTTGCCCCCTCAATCCAGTAGAGGGCAGCCTGTCACCGTGGGGCAGAGTCGTATGTTGTGACTGAGGAATAGTTCGCTGCCAGAGTATGGCAGCTAGGTATGTCCTCAACTAACGAGCAGGATGGACAGATTTCACTTTTTAAGTTTCACAAAGTCTCTTTAAAGACGAAATTTTCTCAATGAACATTTAAAGCATCACAATGACCCCTTCAAGAGATCATTCTAGCATCAAACACTGGCGTAGGACATTATTTTTTCTTCCGTGTTTTGCGGTTCACAGGACACAACTCTGCGCGGCAAGGTTCATTGCCCGCGCCCAGCACGCATCGAGTTAGTTGACTGTGAGGAACCGTGGCACGCCGCGTGGCCATCTTCATCGAGAAAGAGTAAGGACGGCCAGGGGACACCTGATACCTAACGTGGTGGTCCGCGACGTCGCTGCGGAGGCAATCACACGGTGAGGAGAGAAGACCAGAACCCATATTCAGTCTTGGAGAAAGAATGCTGATCTAGGACCAGTTTGGCCTTTTAGATCATAATGAATAAGATTACATGTACATGAGGGACCTGATTCTAGATCAGCACTCCTACTCTGAGACGCTTTATGAATACAGGCTCTGATCCCTGTTGTCACAAATACCCCATGAGCAAGAAATGTGCATTTTAGAAACAGAAATCAAACAATGATATTATATTAGTGATGTCCCCCCCCCTCCCTTTGCATAATTGCTGAATGAAGAGCATTTGAGTCATTTAAGACACTCTTATCCAGAGCAACCTACAGCGTTCCCTTCATGTTTAATTAATAAACCTGTAGATGGAGACCTCTTCAATCTGATCCTTCAATCTGGGCGCTAAAAGGGAGCTGAGCGGATCTGATAACATTTTGGCCATGTGTAGCTCAGTTGGTAGAGCATGGCGCTTGCAATGCCAGGGTTGTGGGTTCGTTTCCCACGGGGGGCCAGTATGAAAAATGTATGCACTCACTAACTGTAAGTCGCTCTGGATAAGAGCGTCTGCTAAATGACTCAAATGTAATGTAAAATGTACCGGCCTGTGTTTTAAAGGGATAGTCCACTCAAAGTATGAGTTTTCACTTGCATTGGCTGTAGTTGATTCGCGAAGACCGGTTTTTTTTCTCTCTCACTTTTGTTTTGTTAGCACGAGGTATGTAAACTGTGTGTGTGTGTGTCCAGCTGATATTGGACTCCCAGAAGCGGGTGTTTTCCTGGGGCTTTGGTGGTTATGGACGGCTGGGTCACACGGAGCCGAAGGACGAGATGGTGCCCAGACTGGTGAAGCTCTTTGACTTCCCCGGGCGCGGGGCATCCCAAATCTACACTGGCTATCAGTGCTCCTTTGCTGTAAATGAGATGGGTATGGGACACAATGCTTAACCCCTTGGAATGTCGCACTGATGAGTAAATCTCTTTAGAATTATTGTATATTTTATTACCCCCATTATCAATTTATACCACTATAAACCAAGAATACTACCGTTACTTCCCCAAGTCTGTGTTGTAATACCTGATATACACTGAGTGTACAAAACATTGCTCTTTCCATGACAGACTGACCAGGTGAAAGCTGTGATCTCTTATTGAGGTCACCTGTTAAATCCACTTCAATCAATGTAGATGAAGGGGAGGAGACTGGTTAAAGAAGGATTGTTAAGCCTTGAGACAATTGAGACATGGATTGTGTATGTGTGCCATTCAGAGGGTGAATAGGCAAGACAAAAGATTGAAGTGCCTTTGAACAGGGTATGGTAGTAGGTGCCAGGCGCACTGGTTTGAGTGTGTCAAGAACGGCAGTGCTGCTGGGTTTTTCATGCTGAACAGTTTCTCGTGTGTATCAAGAATGGTCCATCACCCAAAGAACATCTATCGAACTTGACACAACTGTGGGAGGCATTGGAGTCAACATGGGCCAGCAGCCCTGTGTAACGCTTTCGATACCTTGTAGAGTCCATGCCCCAATGAACTGAGGCTATTCGGAGGGCAAAAGGGGTCAATATTAGGAAGGTGTTCTTAATGTTTTGTACACTGAATGTATATTGTAGTGATTTCAAGGGGTATCCCAAATGGGATTTGAACCTAGCATCTGTCAGTCTAACACTGTAGCCATTACGCTAAGAGTTGGACACTTTTGCCAAGGACACTGGTGTTTTTAATAAGGAAGCTACAATATTAACATTTTGTGTGCAGGAGGGCTGTTTTTCTGGGGTGTCACCAATACTTCGCGGGAGTCTACCATGTACCCCAAGGCAGTGCAGGACCTGTGTGGCTGGAAGGTCCGCAGTCTGGCATGCGGGAAAAGCAGTATCGTTATCGCTGCAGACGACAGCACCATCAGCTGGGGACCCTCCCCTACCTTTGGCGAGCTGGTAAGTTTTTAATAATTAATTGGTGTATTTATTAAGCAGATTTCTCACACCCAAAGTGCTATACAATTATAGAAATGTACTTGTGTGCTCAAAAGACTGCTGAATTTGTGCACCTGTTCTGGCTTCTCAACCCATTATGACATGGGTTTGTGTTTGTTACAGGGATACGGAGACAACAAGGCCAAGTCCTCCACTACTGCTCAGGAGGTGAAGACCCTGGATGGAGTTTACGCTGAACAGGTGTGGAGCAGCAACTTATAATGAAAACAGTTTTCTGTAGATGGGAACTGCATTTAGGTGCATGTTCACTCTTTGGGCCGATTCTCACTGTGGTGTTTGGGGTTGCAGGTGATGATGGGATACGCACACTCCCTGGTCATCGCCAGACAGGATACTCCACAGGAACAAGAGAAGCTCAAGAAGCTGCCAGAGTACAACCCACGCACGCTCTGATGGGGCACCATCCAGCCACCTTACCGTTTGTTTTTCCCAGAGACAACAGATTCTCTCCAGAAGCACCTGCCCTTTAGGTCATGATGGATGGCTGGGGAGGATGGGCTCTCATGAATATGTATGCATACACTTTGAAAAACATTCAGGTCTAGTTCATAGTTTCGGAGGTTAAATGAGAAAATGCGGCGCAACAACTAAGACTGAAACAAATCCACTCTGGACAGAATTCATCCTACTCTCACAATGCTTGTCAGACATCTACAGCTGGAGAGAGGAACTCTACCACTCATCTCTCCAAGCACATTATTCCTCTCTGCGTTCTACTCCAACTCCAATCCCCATGCAACTCCACTGAAGCGTTCACTATATTTTCATGAAGTATTTTTATTCTTCTGTTGAACTGATCAATGTCCTCTCCCTCACTACAACAGGTGCTACATCAGTCCTCTTTGGGCAGATTAATTTCCAAGCGAGGGATCACTTCAAGACCAACACTCCATATCTGTGCCTTTTGAAACTGTATTTTGGGGGTATGGAGTAAATGTGCTTTTTTTTGTTTCTTCCCAAAGACCAATTACTGAATTTAGTTTAATTTGTTCATGGAGTCCATGGAAGTATTACTGTTTGTCAGGTTGATCTGTGTGCGTTGTCAGAACACAATCAGGATCTGAGACATTGTGCCAAGTTGATGCTCTCCGACCATTGACTTCTGTTATATTCCTTGGTTTGTCTCTACACTTGTATGATTAAATGTTGGTGTTGAGGATGCGCAACTGTCCCTCAAAGGCCATTGTCTGCTTGTTGTCATTCCTGCCCTTTTTCCCAGTGACTCCTTTTTAGCCTGCGAAAGCAGCTGTGAACACTGCAGTCTTGGGAATGAAAACCAGCATGAATGCGATTTTGCAAGGACTTGAGTTGTGTGCCTCCGTTTTAGTGTGAAACTACACTTTCTGCACTGCTGTTAAAATTATTTATTTTGTATAGTATAAACTTCTGTGTTGAGCATCCTAAATAATCCCATATTCTGTTATTGTTTATTTTTAGTAAACTAGAAGGGGGAAGAAGCATGATGTAAGATGCAAATCTGATAGTCCAACTGATTATAGGCTACTAAAGCCAATTACTTACCGCTGCGCCATGGAGTTCTGATGAAAAAAATCAGATAATCACGCTGCTATTTATGCTGCCCTAATGTGAATTGTGTACAGAAAATGAAGGTCTGAGTAATGAACAGTTTTTCAGCACAATTTGGTGAAACGCCAAAGCCTTCAGAAAGCCTCGGTTTCTCATCACTAGTGGAAACACCACGGGTGGGGAAAATGCACATTTTCTTTGTGGATTTTAGAATATTCACATGAAAATATGTTGCCAATTGGATGGAAACCTAGCTATTGTTACTAACAAATGCAGTCATGGGTGGGAACTCTACAATTCACTCAAAGTCAACGAACACTGGAAAAGTACATTGGAGGTGTGGTTTAGTGGGGGGCATAGCTTTCAGTTAGTTATTTTCGGCCACCTGTGAGTGGAAGTGTTGTACCAGTGTAAGTGGTCTATCGTTATGTTAATCCCTAACGCTGACAAAGTTGACAGCGTCCACACTAAGCACAATGTTCATTTAACACTGAAAAGTGTGGACCCATATACATACTGGCCCAGTCTTAAATGTAAAATGTCAGTGTTGGTTCAACACTAGAATTTGCTGTGTGAACAACTCACTCACGTGCTCTGTAATAGTTGACACTTCGCCTCTCAACCTCTAACCTACATTGTTTTCATCTGAGGCTGTAGAGACCCCATGTACAGTACAAACACACAAATAATAATACACTTTATTTGTGTAGCGCTTTTCAATACAAGTAACAAAGTCCTTCACATAAAGTACTAACAAATAAACAAAAACAAGAGGAAGGAGAATTAAAAAGATGGTTAATTAAAATCATAAATTGAAATAATACACTAAATGCATCTTTATAAAAGTGTCTTCAGCAGGGATATATATAAAAATAATCTGCAAGCCTGACCATTCTAAAGTCTAGCCCTAATGGCAAATGCCCAGTCTCCTTTAGGTTTCAACCTAGACTTCGGAATGGTCAACAGTGCTCTGCGGGCTGCATCCTGGCTCGTATGGCGATAAATGGTCTGAGATATAGGATGGGGCTCAACCAAGCCTAGCCTTAAACATGATTAATACATTGTTTTAATCTATTCTAAAAGTGACTGGCAGCCAGTGTAGAGAAGCTAAAATCAAATTTTATTTGCCACATGCGCCGAATACAACAGGTGTAGACATTACCGTGAAATGCTTACATACAGCCCTTAACCGACAATGCATTTATTTTTTAATAAAAAAGTGTTGAGAAAAAAAGAGCAGAAGTAAAATAAAATAACAGTAGGGAGGTTATATACAGGGGGGTACCGGTGCAGAGTCAATGTGCGGGGGCACCGGCTAGTTGAGGTAATATGTACATGTGGGTAGAGTTAAAGTGACTATGCATAAATAATTAACAGAGTAGAAGCAGCGTAAAAAGATGGGGTAGGGGTGGGGGGGCAGTGCAAATAGTCCGGGTAGCCATGATTAGCTGTTCAAGAGTCTTATGGCTTGGGGGTAGAAGCTGTTGAGAAGCATTTTGGACCTAGACTTGGTGCTCCGGTACCACTTGCCGTGCGGTAGCAGAGAGAACAGTCTATGACTAGGGTGGCTGGAGTCTTTGACAATTTTGAGGGCCTTCCTCTGACACCGCCTGGTATAGAGGTCCTGGATGGCAGGAAGCTTGGCCCCAGTGATGTACTGGGCCGTATGCACTACCCTCTGTCGAGCAGTTGCCATACCAGGCGGTGATGCAACCAGTCAGTATGCTCTCGATGGTGCAGCTGTAGAACTTTTTGAGGATCTGAGGACCCATGCCAAATCTTTTCAGTCTCTTGAGGGGGAATAGGCTTTGTCGTGCCCTCTTCACGACTGTCTTGGTGTGTTTGGACCATGATAGTTCGTTGGTGATGTGGACACCAAGGAACTTGAAGCTCTCAACCTGTTCCACTACAGCCCCGTCGATGAGAATGGGGCTCTTTTTTTTCCTGTAGTCCACAATCATCTCCTTTGTCTTGGTCATGTTGAGGGAGAGGTTGTTATCCTGGCACCACACGGCCAGGTCTCTGACCTCCTCCCTATAGGCTGTCTCATCGTTGTCGGTGATCAGGCCTACCACTGTTGTGTCGTCGGCAAACTTAATGATGGTGTTGGAGTCGTGCCTGGCCATGCAGTCATGGGTGAACAGGGAGTACAGGAGGGGACTGAGCACGCACCCCTGAGGGGACCCCGTGTTGAGAATCAGCGTGGCAGATGTGTTGTTACCTACCCTTACCACCTGGGGGCGGCCCGTCAGGAAGTCCAGGATCCAGTTGCAGAGGGAGGTGTTTAGTCCCAGGATCCTTAGCTTAGTGATGAGCTTTGAGGGAACTATGGTGTTGAACGCTGAGCTGTAGTCAATGAATAGCATTCTCACGTAGATGTTCCTCTTGTCCAGGTGGGAAAGGGCAGTGTGGAGTGCAATAGAGATTGCATCATCTGTGGATCTGTTGGGGCAGTATGCAAATTGGAGTGGGTCTAGGGTTTCTGGAATAATGGTGTTGATGTGAGCCATGACCAGCCTTTCAAAGCACTTCATGGCTACAGACGTCAGTGCTATGGGTCGGTAGTCATTTAGGCAGGTTATCTTAGTGTCCTTGGGCACGGGGACTATGGTGGTCTGCTTGAAACATGTTGGTATTACAGACTCAGTCAGGGGACATGTTGAAAATGTCAGTGAAGACACTTGCCAGTTTGTCAGCACATGCTCGGAGTACACGTCCTGGTAATCCGTCTGGCCCTGCGGCCTTGTGAATGTTGACCTGCTTAAAAGTCTTACATCGGCTACGGAGAGCGTGATCACATAGTCATCCGGAACAGCTGGTGCTCTCATGCATGCTTCAGTGTTGCTTGCCTCAGCGAGCATAGAAGTGGTTTAGCTCGTCTGGTAGGCTTGTGTAACTGGGCAACTCGCGGCTGTGCTTCCCTTTGTAGTCTAATAGTTTTCAAGCCCTGCCACATCTGACGAGCGTCAGAGCCGGTGTAGTACGATTCAATCTTAGTCCTGTATTGACTCTTTGCCTGTTTGATGGTTCGTCGGAGGGCATAGCGGGATTTCTTATAAGCGTCCGGGTTAGAGTCCCACTCCTTGAAAGCGGCAGCTCTACCCTTTAGCTCAGTGCGGATGTTGCCTGTAATCCATGGCTTCTGGTTGGGGTATGTACGTACGGTCACTGTGGGAACGACGACATCGATGCACTTATTGATGAAGCCAGTGACTGATGTGGTGTACACCTCAATGCTATCTGAAAAATCCCAGAACAGTCCTGTAGCTTAGCATCTGCGTCATCTGACCACTTTTTTATTAACCGTGTCACTGGTGCTTCCTGCTTTAGTTTTAGCTTATAAGCAGGAATCAGGAGGATAGAGTTATGGTCAGATTTGCCAAATGGAGGGCGAGGGAGAGCTTTGTATGAGTCTCTGTGTGTGGAGTAAAGGTGGTCTTTTTTTCCTCTGGTTGCACATTTAACATGCTGGTAGAAATTAGGTAGAACGCATTTAAGTTTCCCTGCATTAAAGTCCCCAGCCACTAGGAGCGCTGCCTCTGGATGAGCGTTTTCCTGTTCACTTATGGCCTTATACCAGAGATGGAAACTCGAGTCTGAGACTCGGACTCGAGTCGCACTTAAGTCGCTAAGAAAATGACTTGCGACTTGACTTAGACACATGATCAATTGACTTGAGACTTGACTTGGACTCTAGATGAGAGACTCGTGAACAATGCAAGTCAGTACTGGGATAAGTTTTTGTTGTGCATTCTGTCAGATAACATGGAACAGGCGGCATTGTAACACAGAGATAGTAGTTTAATACAGAGGGCTGAAAAGCGTTCTAGAACGTCTGCGTCATTTGTACGTCACTGTAGTACTACAGCTAAACAATTGTAATCAGCAACAATGTCATCAGGTGGTGAGGCTTTCGTTATAACATTTGGTTACAAGAACCTGCAGTATAATGCCAGTGGGAAAAAACGAAATGCTGTTTGCAAAACTTGTGGAATTAACATTAAAGATGCTGGCACAACTACATCTAACTTCATCCGATATTTGAAAACTCACAGCGAAAGGTCAATTAGGCTAGCTAGCTAACAAAGTTACAATGAGGTTAGACTAATAATAGCCTGTTTAGCAGATGCCAGCTTGATATAGCTAGCTTTCTTATGTGTCATCTTTTAGCTAACTGGAAATGTATTACTGTCGAATATTTCTCGAAAGGTTAAGAGGTGGGTTGTCAGATAGCTAGGCCTACTTGTTATCAGAGATTATTAAATTACATCTCAGCGATATGCATATCACTATGGGATTTAATATACTTTCTGTTGTAGCCTGGTCCTAGGAAGTAACTTAGTATAAAACAAGAGTTCAAAGCATGCAACTTCTTGGACATTTCTGCTGAAAAATCCCATAGACCATATATATTTGTTTGTGTCCTTGTACTTCCATCTCAAGTCAGCAACAACTATCCATCATGTTGTTCATCTGCAGGTTCACTGAATTCTGCAAAGCAAAGGTGGCCAGCGCAGGGACAGAAGGACAGAGCAGCATTGACTCATTCTTGACCACCACAGGTGTCCATGTGTACAGCCAGGGCCACCCCAGGCAGAAGGCCATAACAGAGGTCTATACTGCAAGACCTGATCATTTCCTGTAACCTGCCTATGTCCTTAGTGGACAACCCTCACTTTAGGCATTTCATGTCAGTGGTAGATGACAAATATAGACCAGTAAGTAGGCCCACGTTGACCAGGCGCCTGCATGACTTAACACTGAACAAAGAGGCTACAATCAAAAGTGCCCAAGAGAAGACAGAATCAGTGTCTGTCAATGTAGATATA